GGCCGCGCAGGAGAGCCCCAGGGGCCCCCAGCCGCCCGCCAGGGCCGCTCAGGTCTGCCCCTGCTGCCCACCCAGGTTCTCCCAGCTCCAGCGGCTGACCCTCATCCACTGGAAGTCGCAGGTGCACCCCGTGCTGAAGGTGAGCCCTCCGGCAGGGGCCCCCTGCGCCAGCGGGTCCCCGCGGGCTCTGGCCTGTGCCCGCCGTCTCTCCCACAGGGCTGGCTGTCGCCCTGGGGCGGCGAGGGCTGCGGCTGACCGGTGTTGCTTGGCCCTTGGGCTGCAACCGGCCTCCCCAGCGTGGCCCTCTCGTCCACAGCTCATCAGTGAGTTCTGTCCCCGGCTCAGCTTCCTCAAGCTCTCGGACTGTCATGGCGTGGGCCCGGACGCGCTGGCCTCGCTCGCCAGAGCCTGCCCCCAGCTGCACAGCCTGGACATCCAGCACTCCTCGGTGAGCCCAGGGCCCCCCCCCGCACCCCGGGAGCCCGGGCCCAGGTGACCGCCGCCCTGTGCTGAGCCCCTAGGTGGAGTCCGCAGGCGTGGTGCGCTTCCTGGAGGAGGTGGGGCCCCGGATGCGCAGACTGTGGCTGACCTACAGCCCCCAGACCACGGCCATTCTGGGCGCGCTGCTGGTAGGTGCTGGCCGGCAGGGGGCGCCAGTGGCCAGCCGGGCCGCCAGGCCTCTGACCCGCTCCCCGCCTGCAGGGCAGCTGCTGCCCCCAGCTGCAGCTCCTGGAGGTGAGCGCCAGCATCAGCGGCCACAGCACGCCCCTGCAGCTGCCCCTGGAGGCCCTGCAGAAAGGCTGCCCCCAGCTGCAGGTACCCGCCCGCCCGCCGCCTCCGCGCCCGCCGGCCACCTGCCCCTGCAGCCTGGGCCTCGCCCCTAGGTGCTGCGGCTCCTGAACCTGCCCTGGCTGCCCAAGCCCCCGGGGAGAGGGCCGCCGGGACCCGGCTTCCCCGGCCTGGAGGAGCTCTGCCTGGCCAGCCCCGGCTGCCACGCCGTGAGCAACGAGGTCCTGGCCCGCCTGCTGCACGGCTCCCCGCGCCTGCGCCTGCTGG